CAGTCTGTGACTCCCTCTCTCTCTGACCCTCCCCTGCTCATGCTGTCTCTCTCTCTCTCCTAGAAATAAATAAAAAATATTTTTAAAAAATACTGTACAGTACTGTAAATGTTTTTCCTCCTTATGATTTTCATAATAACATTTTCTTTTCTCTAGTTTATTGTAAGAATACGGTGTATAACATACATACTATACAAAATATGTGTCAGGGCGCCTGGGTGGCTCCGTTGGTTGAGTGTCTGACTCTTGATATTGGCTCAGGTCATGACCCCAGGGTTGTGGGATCAAGCTGCACATCAGGCTCTGTGCTGAGAGCATGGGGCCAGCTTGAGGTTCTCTCTCTCTCTCTGTCTCTCTCTCTCAAATAAAAAAATCAAAACATGTGTTAATCAACCACTTACATTATTAGTAAAGTTTTGGGGGGAGTCCAAAGTTAAACTCAGATTTTTAACTTGGGGGGAGGGGAGGAGGTCATTGCTCCTAACCCCCCATATTGTTCAAAGGTCAACTATATTAGTTTCCTAGTGCTGCTGTAACAAAGTGACACAAACTGGGTGGCTTATAATGACAGACATTTAATTTCTCACAGTTCTGGAGGCTGGAAATCCAAAATAAAAGTGTTGGCAGGGCCAGGCTCCCTCTGAAGACTGAAGAGGAGGATCCTTCTCATCTCTCCCAGCTTCTGATGGCCCCAGATGTTCCTGAGCAACATGACTCCCATCTCTGCCTCCATATTTACATGGCTGTCTTCCCTCTGTATGTGTCTGTATCCACTTTCCCTTTCTGATAAGGATACCAGTCATATGGATTAAGACATACCCTAATGGTCTTATCTTTTTTTTTTAATTTAAATTCAAGTTAGTTAACATATGCTGTAGTATTGGTTTCAGAAGTAAAATTCAGTGATTCATCACTTACACATAACACCCAGTGCTCATCCCAGCAAGTGCCCTCCTTAATGCCCATCACCCATCTAGCCCATCCTCCCATCCACCTCCCTCTGTCAACCTTCAGTTTGTTCTCTATACTTAAGAGTCTCTTATGGTTTACCTTCCTCTCTGTTATTATTTTATTTTTCCTTCCCTTCCTTCCCCTATGTTCATCTGTTTTGTTTCTTAATTTCCACACAGGAGTGAAATCATATGGTATTTGTCTTTCTCCGATATATATATATATATCTTTATCTCTTCATCAGTTGATGGACATCTGGGTTCTTTCCATTGTTTGGCTATTGTTGATAGTGCTGCTATAAACATTGGGGTGCATGTGCCCCTTCAAAGCAACACTCCTATATCCTTTGGATAAATACCTAGTAGCACAATTGCTGGGTCATAGGGTAGTTCTATTTTTAATTTTTTGGGGAATCTCCATACCGTTTTTCAGTGGCTGCACCAGTTTACATTCCCACCAACCAGTGCAAAAGGGTTCCCTTTTCTGTGCATCCTCACCCACATCTGTTGTTGCCTGAGTTGTTAATTGTAGCCATGCTGACAGGTGTGAGGTGATATCTCAGTGTGGTTTTGATTTGTATTTCTCTGATGATGAGTGATGTTGAGCATTTTTTCATATGTCTGTTAGCCATCTGGATGTCTTCTTTGGAAAAGTCTATTCATGTCTTCTGCTCATTCACTGGATTATTTGTGTTTTGGTTGTTGAGTTTATAAGTTCCTTATAGATTTTGGATACTAACCCTTTATCAGATATGTCATTTGCAAATAATTTCTCTCATTCTATAGGCTGGCTGCCTTTTAGTTTTGTTGATTGTTTCCTTTGTTGTGCAGAAGCTTTTTATTTTGATAAGTTCCCAATAGTTTATTATTGCTATTGTGTTTCTCTTGCCTCCAGAGACATGTCTAGTAAGAAGTTGCTGTGGCTGAGGTCAAAGAGGTTGCTCTCTGTGTTCTGTAGGATTTTGATGGTTTCCTGTCTTACATTTAGGTCTTTCATCCATTTATTTGAATTGATTTTTGTGTATGGTGTAAGAAAGTGGTCCAGTTCATTCTTCTGCATGTTGCTGTCCAGTTTTCCCAACATCATTTGCTGAAGAGATGGTATTTTTTTCCATTGGATATTCTTTCCTGCTTTGTTGAGGATTAGTTGGCCATATATTTGTGGGTCCATTTCTGGGTTTTCTATTCTGGTCCATCGATCTACATGTCTGTTTTTGTGCCAGTACCATACTGTCTTGATGATTACAGCTTTGTAATACAGTTCAAAGTCTAATGGCTTTTTATTAACAATTAAATCTTCAAAGACTTTATTTCTAAAAAAGGTCACATTCATAGGGACTGGGGTTTAGGACTTGAACATATCTTTTTTGGGGGAGCACAATTCAACCCATTAGTGGGGAGAAAAGCTTAAAAAGTGAACTGAAAATAAATGTTAACAGAATACAAGGAACTAAATCTAAAACCCTCTTAAGGACACTCTCATGAGCCCACTCAAGTTTCTGGACATTCCATATAAATGGAATCATACTTTTATGTGAATTTTTTGTGCCTGGTTTCTTTCATTTAGCATAATGCTTTCAAGCTTCATTCAGGTTGTAGCATGGATCTGTACTCCATTTCTTTTTATGGCTAAATAATATTCCATTGGCTAGATATATCATATTTTTGTTTATCCATTTATCAGTTGATGTACATATGAATTGCTTTTTTGGCTATTATGAATAATGCTGTATATGAACATCCATGTACAAATTTTTGTGTGAACATGTTTTTAGTTCTCTTGGATCTATACCCAGGAATGGAATTACTGAATTACATGGTAACTCTATGATTAGCTTTTTGAGGAACTGCCAGACTATCTTCCACAGTGGCAGCACCATTTTACACCTTTACCAGCGATGTATAAAGGTTCAGCCTCTCCGTATCCTCACTAGTATTTGTTAGTTTTTCTTTCTTTCTGTTTTAAAAATTATAACCATTCCATGAATGTGAAGTGATCTCTTATTTTGGCTTTGATCTGTATTTCCCTAATGACTAATGATATTGAGCATCTTTGTATATGTTTGTTGACTATTTGGGAATCTTCTTTGGAGAAATGTCTGATCCATTTTTAAAAAAAACTGAGTGATTTGTCTTTTTATTATGGAGTTGTAAGAGTTCCTTATATATTCTGGTACTAGATCTTTATCAGACATGTAATTTGCAAATATTTTCTCCCATTCTGTGGGTTGTCTTTTCATTTCTGATGGTGTTCTAAGATGGACAAAAGTTTTAAATTTTGATGAAATCCAGTACATCCATTTTCTTTGGTTCCTTCTGATTTTGGTGTCATATATTAGAAACTATTGCCTAACTTATGGTTGTAAAGATTTACACCTGTATTTTAAGAGTTTTATAGGTTTTTTAAAAAAAGTGTATTTATTTTGAGAGGGGAAAGGGGCAGAAAGAGAGGGAGAGAGAATTCCAAGCAGGCTCTGCATTGTCAGCACAGAGCCTGACATGGGGTTCCATCTCACAAACCAAGAGTGAGATCATGACATGAGATGAAATCAAGAGTTGGACACTTAATCAACTGAGCGCCCCAGGTGACCCTGTTTCAGATCTTTTTTCATAGCAGGCTCTATACTTTCACATATATTCCACATATATAGACATACTGCCCACAGACACACTCTACACTGCCCACAGACACACTCTCTTCCCAGTATGTCCTGGATCTCAGCCTTAGTGGGACATACTGGCCCTCTGGGAGCCCCGGATGCTCCTTCCCACAATCCCATCAGCTCAATCACTGCCCCTTAGGAGCTCCCTGGGCTCTCAACATCCCCAACTAAAGAGCAAGAATCCAATGTTTCTCACTATTTGGGTCATGAGTTAAAAGTTTCCATTGTTCACACTGGACATTTTGTTATTCTTTTTTCACATTCATTTTTTGTTTTCTCCCCGCCCCCCCTTCTTTCTGCTTGAGAGGTGAACAAGACCCAAGTCAAGATTCCTTATCAGGGCTTCTGCTGGGATCTGTACACAACCTCTTAAACCAAAATGACTTTTGCAGCTGAGGGAATTTCAAGTCTCAGCACTTGGCATCCGTGTTCTGTTCGCATCTGCATGGCTTCCATACAGGCATGCGGGCCTTTCTCTGTGATTCGTGCTCAGCTGTTGCAGATGATTTCCCTTTTTTATGCATCTCATTAGTAATCTGAGGTCATCAGTAACCTGAGAATCCCTGGCCATCAGGACAGACTGGCAGAGGCTACTGAAGTGAAGAGATTTGGAATTGCATTGCAGTATCAGAGAGGGGGCTTGACTGTGTGTGAGCCTGGAACCTTGGAGAGAAAGCAAGTGCGGGTAGAGCTAGGGAGGCACAGTTAGGATGGACAATAGAGGCTAACCTGGCTCGTTTGACCTGGACCAGAGAGTGGACCCTTCCAGAGGTGCATGGAACAGAAGGAGGCCATTCTGCACCTCACATCATCTCACTAGTTGGCCCACAAGTCTGTTTGTCCTCCCCCCTTTTTCTGAGATTGAAATAAAAGAAAAATTTCCAAACCTTTTAAATGTTTACTTATCCCTGAGTTAAAAAATGTATCCTTACCGTGTGAGTGTGTGAACCAGGGGAAAAGAACTCCTGTTTGGAAGTCGACTTTCTGCAGGGTCTCACTGGCCCCTAGGGAATGGAGCCTCTATTTTTATAGTCCTGGGACTTGTAGAACCGTCTGCCTTCAAGCTGCTGAGGGCTGGGAATGGCCATGCCCAAGAAGACAGTCCCTTGCTGGTATAGATGCACAGTTCTATTCCAGTGTATTCTGTTCTTATGACTATGTGTCTGAACATGTGTGTGTGTGTGCGCGCGTTCATGGAGACATATGGTTTTTGCAGACTGGGTCAGGAATAACATAGTGTCTGTTCAATGGGCATATAAGGCAGAAGAAACATCTACCAGCTGAAGGATAGCCATTGAAGAGGACGCTTGTTGGGATGAGCACTGGGTGTTGTATAGAAGCCAGGTTGACAATAACTTATATCTTTAAAAAAAAAAAAACCACAAGGTGATTGTTTAGTGCTTCATTTATTCAATTCAGATTCAACTCAAATAAACGAGTCTGGCCTGAGTCTCTGCTCTTTGTTGGCTCTCACCCTTGGACCTGCGGGGAGTCCAGGGACAGGAAGGCAAAGACAGGGGCGAAGACAATTCAACGACAGGGATAGGCGGCCTGAGGTTGGTGGAAATCAGACCAACGCAACCATGGTTGTTTGGCTTCACTGAAAGGAGAGGGAGCTCAGGGAGGGCCGCGACCTCTGGAAAAGACTGTGGGAGTTGGGCTAAGGCAAGGCTCTGAATAGGAGGGAGGAAAGAAGAGCTTGTGGGCCCTAGAGGCACACAACACTACCAAGGGAACATGCTCTTCAGCTGATGGGTCAGGTCCTTCTAACAGTGTCAGGACTGACCTCTTTCAAGGCCAGGGGCCCCCGCGGGAAGAGCAGCAGGCCCAGCAGCAGAGCGCCCCCCAGCAGCATGACAACCAGCCGCCACCTCCGCCTAGCGGTCTCCAGCCAGTGCCGCCTCCACCCCCACCCCCACCCCCACCCCCACCCACGAGCCAGGCCGCGGGTCGCCAGCCGCTCGGCCACCAGGCGGAGCCTGTCCTCGGGGCGCACGTCGCGCCGCGCCCGCGCCAGGCCGTACGCGTCGTTGGTGAAGGGCGCGCCGTCGTGCTCCCGCGCCAGCCGCTCCACCAGCGCCAGCAGCTCGTCCACCTGCGCCTCGCGCTCGGCGCCCTCCGCGCGGTTGTCCAGGGCGCACACGCGGCCGCCGCACTCGGCCACCAGGGCCCGCAGCGCGCGGTTGTCGGTGGCGCGCACGTAGTCGTGCAGCGACGCCCCCTCCAGGTCCTCCCGGCGCGTGAAGACGACCACGGCGCGCGCCAGGACGCCGGCCCCAAAGAGATCGCGGACGCCGCGCACGGCCTCCTCGTCCTGGGTGGTGAAGCGGCCCAGCTGCGTCACGAGCAGCAGCGCGTGCGGCCCGGGCGCCGACAGCACGTAGCAGCGGGCCCGCTCGGTGCGGTCCGGGTCTGCGTGCCGCCCTTGGGCGCTGAAGAGGTCGGGGGTGTCGGTGACCTCCACGCGCCAGCCGGCCCAGCGGCGGCTCCCCACGTCGCAGCGCCTGGTCACCGGGGCGGTCGCGAGCCGGGACGGGAAGCGCCTGTGGCCCAGGATGCTGTTGCCCGTGGCGCTCTTGCCCGCTCCGGTCCTGCCGGCCAGGATGAGCCGGAGCCTGGGCTCCTGCGCCAGCGGCTGCTCGGCGTCCCGGTTGTCGTCCGAACCTGCGAGAACAGAGTGGAGTGGGCCGCCGGCCTGCGAGCGCGAGGCCCGCTCCCGCGGGGCCGAACAGACGAGGACGGCCGCGCTCCCCGCTTCTGCTTTTCCAACCGGGCCTTTGCAGGCGCTCTGGCTACCGCTGGGGCGGCTCCGGGGCACCTCAGCCATCTTCCTCCCATCTTCGGCCTCAGCGCGTGCACCTGTCCGAGCTGCGCACCGGGTGCACGTCGCTCTGGAGGGTCCCCCTCGATGCGCGCAGGCCGTGACCTCAGCTGCCATTGCCTCTGATCGTCCGCACCGTGCAGGGCGGTTCGGCGCTTGACGACTTCCGTGGCCTCTGCCAGACTTCTCCCAGAGGCCATCCCAGCGAGGCCACGCGGGAGGGCACAGCAGGCCCGGAGCGAAGGGCTGTCTGGAGTCCCAGACACCCCGGGTTGGGATCACAGCCCAGCACGTGCCAGCTGTGGAGCCTTGGGGACGTTGAGGGTAAGCCTCCAGCCTCTTGTGCACAAGGGGAGGGGTGACGGAGCTGCTTCTCCCGGGGTTGCTCAGAGGATTAGGCGACGTGGTCTCTTTCCTGCTTCCCTGCCTCCCGCTTCCCCTCCGCCCTCTCTCTATTCAGCCTGCTGCCAGCAAGATACCCTTAGTCCTCCATCCTTGTTCCCTAACATTCTCCCGGCTAAACCGTGTTCCCTCTAGTCCAGGATCTCACAGCCTCCGCATCTATGGGGATCAGGGTAGATTTGTTATGCTCATTGTACCCTTTGGGACCCAAGCAAGACACAGGCTTGTCAGGGCGCTTAATGTCCCACAGTAGGACAGGGGCAGAGGTCCAGCAAAAATGCCAAGCCGGGGCTCTTGCTGTTTCACCCCAGCGTGGGGACACGTCTGGGATTTGTCTCTGTTCAGTCTTGACTTAGCCCATGGCCTTGTGACCCAGAGCGGACGCCTAGGGGCAAGTACCCACTGAGATCAGCTCTTACCATAGGCATTTTCTTCATCTCTTGCCATCTTCCGTCCTCCCATGCCTACCTGAAAGAGTTCCAAACACAAGCTGTTCGTTCCTTCATTCATGCAGTCATTCATTCATTCATCGAAGAGACATAACTATCTCCGGTGGCTCCGGCAAGGTCCAAAGAGGCGGTGACAGCCCAGGGAAACGGTCACGGTTCCTGCCCTCCCCTGAACAGCGGGATTTGGGGAGGAACCCCGGAAGGACCCGGTTGGCGTTGGAGCGACACCGTGAGAACACTTGGTGAGCCCTTTTCAGGGGCCCCGAATGCAGAAGACAGAGGGGAGGTGATACCTCGTCCTCCGTGTTAGTGAGGGAGCCTTAGCTGTTAAGTTTCCAGGGAGTCTATGCAGTGGCATAAGCTGTAGGCACAAAGATTTCCCAGGAGATTCCGCAGCCAGGGTCACTTACGAAAACCCTGAGAATTAGCTAATCTGCTCACCCACCTTAGGGCGGTTGGCCTGGGGGAAAAATATAAGAAGAAATTTTGTATTTTGTTTTGGAATTTGAAAAAGAAACCAATCTCCCATGCTCATCTGAAGAGCCTGTGATCTGCTCTCAGAGAACTAAATAATTCGGCTCATGTCATCTGTGTAGATACGACCTGTGTGCTGGAGAGATGGGTCACTCCCCTCTGGCTTCTGCTCTTCCTGCCCCAAATCTGAGGCTTCTCAAATAAGCGATGATACTCAGGTCCAGCAGGATTTCCTACAGCTAGCCACTCAGCCACGAAGTGGGTCCGATCTCACGACGACCTGGACACAAGGGCACAGCTCTGCTCCGTCTTCTCCTCCAGCCCAGTGTCCCACTCACTCCCCATCGCGGTCAGCTGCTCCGCAGAGGACAGGTTCAGGGCCTTTCCATGCCCACCTGTGAACTCACCCCCACGACCACTGATTCTCTCCCAAATTTCTGTCTGAGTCCTGTCTGTGCTCCACCGGCCATTTCAAATGCTACCTCTTCATGGGGACACCTGGTTACTGCAGGTAACCGTGCTGTGTCCCAGGGGAACCAAATAAGGACAAGCAAAGGGAGAGGTTGATTGATAACTTGACTCTGAACAGTTAGATGACAGGTTTGCCTTCTGCAGTAAAACCCCTGCCGGCTCCCAAAAACCCTTGGTAAAGTTCATCCCAAAGGCCTCAGGTGAGTAGTGATCTTATGTGTAAAAATCAGCAAACTCCCATAACTGACCACACAACAGAACTGAAGAAACAGCCAGAAAATTCAGTGCAAAGAACAAGAATTTAGCTAAAGCAAGAAGTCCCTGTCAATGATGGATGGATATAGAACATGGAGACGCCTATCATCTTAAATGGGGTTGGAGATTACTTAGTCCAGTGCTTCATGAGCCTGCTATCTTTTGGAAGTATCTACAGAGTGTATAAAATACATATTTGACATTTCAATTCACATATCTGTAGTTAGATAGAAAAATATGGAGGTGCCTGGGTGGCTCAGTCTATTAAGTGTCTAACTCAAAATTCAAGTCGGTGGTGATCTCATGGGTCATGGGCTTGAGCCCTTCGTTGGGCTCTGTGCTGACAGTGCAGAGCCTGCTTGGGATTCTTTCTCTCCTTCTCTCTGTGTGCCTCCCTTGCTCACACTGTCTCTGTCTCTCAAAAATAAATAAGTAATTAAACGTTAAAAAAAAAAAACGGTATATCTCACCCCTCCACCTGAATGATTCTTTTTTTTTCATTAAATTTTTTTCTTTAATGTTTATTTATTTTTGAGAGCACGAGCAGGGGAGAGGCAGAGAGAGAGGGAGACACAGAATCCAAAGCAGGTTCCAGGTGCTCAACTGACAGTACATAGCCGGACACCGGGCACAGAGCTTATTGGACTGAACCACACAGGCACACACACCCCTCCCCACCCCGGAGTGATTCTAATGCATCCTGTCCCGCCTCTGAGTTTCTGAGCCATTCATCCTGTCCAAGCCCTTTATTATAGCCAGTGTGCCGGTATGAAGAAGGCTCCCAGCCCACAGAGCCCTGGGCAGCTTGGGCGGGGGAAGGGATGTACGAGCACACACAGCTCGTAAAAGGTCTGAAGGTGTGCTGCAAAGGTCTGAAGGTCAAGTTCATAACTGTTGGTGGCTCCTGCAAGTCCCTGGGGCGCACAGGGCTGAGGGGGTGGAGTGTGTGAGCGGGGACAGCTCGCAGACACGATTTCCACTTTGTGATGTGTTCTGAGGTTAGGCTCGTTTGTCCTCAGAAATATCTTTTACCTTTGCTGCAGGCGCCCTGGGGG